GGRRATCACCCCACAACTGATGGGGAAATCACCCTGCAGCTGATGAGATCCCCGCTTTTCCCCAACCCTCATTCACGGCTCCCTTTGCTGCCAGCTCAGGCTCGATTGCTCTTAATTATGGAATTGACACCCAGAATGAGGGGGCAAAGGTGACATGGGGGCGCCGGAACATTCAGTGACAGGTTTAAGTTAAAAAAACGAGATTTTGGATGAGGCCGTGGTTTTTTTTTGAGAACTTTTAAGGGAGTTTTAGGGAGCTCGAGGTTGCTCTGACACCACAACGTAAAGGGACAGGTCTGAGGCAGCCTGGAAAACCCAAATTTCTTTCCATTTTTTTACCCAGCCCTATTCTGTAACTCTTYGGGGTGTCCCAGATTCACCCAGGGCCCCCCGTTCTCCCCTCACCACCATTCCACAGTTTCCTGCCTGAAAAGGGTGAGTTTAACCTCAAAATCCCAGGAAAAATGAGCTTTGCATCCCCCCTGCATTCACCCACAGCCCCCAAAGGGATCTGGAATCAGGGGGSCACCCATGGGGGCCTCAAGCAGCATCCCGACCCGATTTAATGAGTCCTAATTACATAACGAGGTAGGAAACACTTCCCTGAGTGTTTCCCATGGGATGAGCCACCAGCTGTGCCTCAGTTTCCCCATCCATAAAACCCCAAATATTCACTGAATTTGTGCCTCAATTTCCCCATCCAAAAAATCCAAATATCCACCGAATTTTAGTCTCTGTTTCCCCACCCACAAAACCAAATATTCACCAAATTTGTGCCTCAGTTTCCCCACCCATAAAACCCCAAATACTCACGGGATTTGCTTTGTGAGGACTCTGACTCGCCCCTATTTCAGCCCAGCTCCCCRTAGGACTGGGATATCCCATTCCCCAACCCATCCCTGGAATTGGATYGGTGCCGGCAGGACCCTGATTTTAATTAGTGGTGACTCAAATCTGTGGAGCAGCAGCCTCTGGATCTGCAGGGCTGTTTGCACTGGAACTTAATTCAGTTTCCTTTTATTCAAACTCTCCGAGGAAACAGCCCCTGGAAACACTCACAGSCGGGCTGTAAATCTCCTAAATCGAGGGATGTAAATAATGAATGATGCCGGGAGCGCGGTGCTCGGGGTTTTATGGCCACCCATCCACCGGGGGCTGTCTCCTGAGCTGCTCGGCGGGGGCTCGATGTGTGTTTTGGGTGCTGGGGATGCTCTGAGCTGAGGGATGGGGCTGAGAAGGACCCCGAGGGCATCCCGTGGTGCTGGGGTGATGGGATTACACCAGGCTGCTCCTCAATTCCAGCCGGGATGGGGTGGGAGAGAAGGAGCTGGAGCAGCCTGGAGGAACCGAACCCTTCTCCAGCCCAGGGCAAGGCAGAATTAGRGATAAACCCCCCAGATTTCCCCACGGATAAGCAGGGGCTTCTGATTGCCCTGGAAATCTCTGCTGGAGCCCCCCAGCAGGCCCGGTGCTGCTCCGTGGGTGTGTTATTCCACTTTTTCTGCAATAACGCTTTTTAATTTTTTTTTTTTTTTTCTGGAATAATGCTGAAAAAGCAGCTCCTGGGAAGGATTCCGTTTTCCAAGGTGCTCCTTAGGGTTACGGAACAAAGACAGCACAAAGGCAGTGAGTCCTTGGCTGCAGCTTCCCGTCTCTGCCAAGGGCATTCCAAGGGTTTCACGAGTGTTTCACGAGTGGGGAAACTGAGGCACAGCTTCCAGCAGGGCAGGACCCAGGTTMACGGGGCAATTGCGGCGCTGAGCGAGCGCCCTCAGCTCAGTGACGCTCCTCAGGCTGGTCCAGCCCCAGGATCATCGTCCCCGATCCTTTGGGTATAAAATGTCCCTGAGGGGGAAGTTCAGGACCCCCAGCTCTGCTCAGTGACAGCGGCCCTGGCTCCGGGGCTCAGCGTCACCCCAAGCACGGCTTCCCAAAAACCTTCCCAGCCCCATCCAACCCCCAAAAACTGTTTCGTGGAGTTCAGCGCATCTTCCTCAGGCTGTTCAGCTGCCGAAATGGGAATGGGCTCACAGCCCCCGGCCCCATTCACACCCCCCTGTCCCCTCCCGGCCCCAGCGGCCGCTCAGCCCCGGATCCGCTCGGGATTGCCATCCCGCTGCTAATTAAGATAAACCTGCGGCTGATCGATGCAGCGAGTTTTAGGGCTCCCTCTTAATTAAACGCTCCGGAGTTTATCGATCGGCCCCAAAAGTTCGCTTTGCAGCAAATCACATCAATCAGCTGCCGGATCCCGCTCACCCCAGCGCGCTGCCCGCACGGATTTCGGTTTCACCG